AATTTTATATATATACACACATATATATATATGATATGCTGTTAAATTTACATTTTCAATAAGGAGTTTAATTCAGATATTTATATTTCTTAGAAATAGGGCTTCCTACCATCTGAAATGAGTTGAGGTGCTTCTGGTTTTCAGTGAGTTCAATATTTAAACTCCCTGTTCTTCACACCTGATTTTCAAAGTTCATTCATTCCGTAGCAGGAGTTGGCTGTTGCAGTTCCCTGGAGGTGGAATAGCAGCCCTGGGAATTGCTGGTGTCTTCCCAGAAGCTCTCCCAGTGGTTCCTGGTGCATTCCAGGAGCTGGCAGGATTCCAAGGATTGCCCAGGAACACCAAGCTGGTGTAAACACGAGGCAGAGATGGTATCAGCGCCATAAATCTCACACATCACACCCTGCCAATATCAACCTGACTCTGTGTGGGGTTTTTTTTCCCCAATTATAGTGCAATTATTGTCTTAAACTGGCATAAACTGGTGGCAGGAAGGCCTTGGGGTGCTGCACTCGGGGATATCGGAGGCCTTTTCCAACCTAAAAAATTCCACCATTCTGTGATTCTTGGCCATTTTCTTATTCTTGGGGGAAAAAAAAGGCAAAATAATCGCTGTGGTGTTGTGTTACTGTAGAAAATATAGTGCCTGTGGGTTCAGTGAAGTGTCAGTTGAAGGACATTTTCTTTGGACTCTTACAATAAAACTAGACAGAGGTGTTTTACCTTTTCTCCCTCTTCTTGCAGCTCCCACGACACCAAACCTTTTGTGACTTGGGAGAAGGTTCCAACTAAAACCAGAGGTTTAGTTGAGCACCTTGGAAGGATTAAAGAAGCCCTTTATTGATTGTGGTCTGAGGCTGGAATTGTAGAATTAAAATACTGAAAATCAGATTTTTCTCTTCTCTCCTACATTCAATATGTCCTTTAAATTTAATTTTCTAAACTGATTTGTAAGGAAGTGCTCAAGAAAAGAAAAACCACTTCCTATTCCTGTAATCCCTTTTTTTTTCCTAGAGTAATATTAAATTCCTATTTCCAGTCTGGCACAGGTGAGGGAGAGATTTAAACCAGTTGCATGTGATATGGAGAAGCTGTTCCAAGCTCAAGTGTAAAAGCTTTTGCTCATCCATAGCTTTGCCAAAGGGCAGTTCTTTGAGGAAATGGAATATTTGCAGAAGAGAATAGGAAATTTAGCTGGAAAAAAATTTAAATTTAGCTGGAAATGCAACGGATTTTGAGATGGGATAACTTTATTTTTTACAGATGATCAGGGATTCTGAATTTTAAGTGAACATCAGTTTGGGCTATAAGAGGAATGTGATGTAATGCAGCTTTCATTACATGTTTTCTCCTTGCAAATACCTCACTTCGGTGGTACTTCTCGGGTTTATCATGTTAATCAGACATTATTTTGTTAATCAGACATTATTTTCATTTCAGAATCAAGCAGTTGGGTGGATTGTGTAGCCAGACACCTCCGTGTCTCCCACTCATTCCCATCACACCTCCCCGTGCCAACATTATCCCCGGAGCTAAAGGATGTTGTCACTCCCAGCTCTGTTTGTGCTTTGCTTCTCTAAGATCTCAGATAAAGAACTCCATCATTTCTTGTAATTAAGCCCCAGATTTCATCCCAGCCATTGTTGAGGGTGCTGTGGGTGAACCTAAAGGAACGTGTTTAATGTTGATAAGTTCAATTTGATTCTGTCAGTGGAGTGTGAAATATGTTTTCCTCTGTTATTCTCTGCTCGTGATAACAGGCAAAAAGTCAAAAAGCAGAGACTTCAACTTGGTGGGTAAGAAAAAGTAAAACTTGTATAAGAAATAGTTTTAATTTGCAGATCCGCAATAATATTTTGGTTTTTATTTTTAACCCTTCAAAATATTTACTTTTCACCCCCTTTTTGTTTTAAATGTTTAGATTTTTTAAATGCCTGTTTCCCAAAGGGGTTTTTCTCATTTTTTCCACCCATTTCTTCATTTTGGAGTGGGGTAGATGATACCTTGTAGCTCAAATTTAAAGGAAAATGTGAAAATGGCAGTTTTTCCCTAAGAAATGGGGGAGCCAGGAGATGAGTTTTGCCCTTTCAAGATAAATTCAATATTCATTTTTTGGCCTCTCTGCTTTGTTGCAGGGAACACCTGATGACGTCAGGTGTTGGGTTTAACTTTTTCAGCCCTGAACACACATACCTTTGTGCCTGTGTATTCCCCAACTCTTATGTCCTGAAGTGGTATTTAACAGGCTTAACAGGAGCACTTGTAATTATCTAATAGCACCTGAAAATTGCTTTTACTAAATGACAGCAGGAAGTTTCATTTGCATTCCGTATCTCCGTGTTCAATCTGCTAATCCTCCAGCAGGAGCTGCCAGGAAAAACAGTGTAGACAGGCTTGAATTTTATTAAAATCAGAAATCAAGCTTCCTACTTTTCTGTTACACACTGTAAGGTGAACCTTAAAACCTCCTGGAATATATTAATTAGTTCAGCCATTGTGTGCCTGGTTGTTTTCTTGAGGTGTTCTTTATTCTGGGGTGTTTTTTTTTATATGAGCAGCCCTTCCCTCTTGGGTTGTTTTCCCTCACTCCAGGAAAGCTGGAGCTCCGTGTTTCCTCTTGTTTATATAAGTTAATCTTCCACGTTGTGACAGCTTTTTCCCTTCATTAACGAGGGCTCCTAATTGGCCCTAATGAAACATTTACTCACGCTGCCTGATAATATTATATGAAAGCACAACAGAGATGAGAGGCTCTGGAGAAAACAAGCATTTTAAAGATTGCAGATAAGATATGAAAGCCATTTTTTGGCCAATATTTTCCTATTTTATTTGAGAAGGGCTCCTGGTGCAGCTGTGTAACCAAGCCCACGTCAAACAACATCCATTATTTATTGGCCTGGTTGGCAAACAAGGACACCTTTGACTACATCAAATCCTGAGGTCGATTTACTGTGCCTTACACCATCCAAAGAGTGGCCTTTTTGTGTTTATATTCTCTGAATTTTTCCATTTGGCATCGGCTTGTCCAGGGAAAGCCATAGGAACTCAGGGGGAGGGGGAGCAGGAGAGAGCCTGGATTTGTAGAAAACTGGCACAGGTGTAATTGTGCCTTTTATTTGCTATCCAGGTGCTTCAGATCCAGTTACACACCAGCCTCCCCGTAAAGGGAAAGTTTCCTTAACCCAGCAGGGGCTGCAGAAGGTCCAGGCTGAGGGGATGAGTTTTGCAAATGCTCTGCCATTGGAATAATTCAGTTCCAAATGCAGAGGAAAACCGAAATAATTAAACGCTGTCGAGCTGCTTGAAATTTGATTAAACTCTCCATACTTGATTAAAACTGGGCTGCTAATTTATAAATATCTTGAGATATTCAAAGGGCTGAAGTGTCTCCAAGGCCAGGTTGGATGGGGCTTGGAGCAGCCTGGTCTAGTGGAAGGTGTGGAAGTGGAAGGGAGTGGAACAAGATGAGCTTTAATGTCCCTTCCAACCCAAGCATTCCATGATTCCATGAGAAACAGAATTATTTTACAAGGAATCCATGAAGAAGGACGTTGGCCCCCCAAAAACATTCTCCTCATGTTGTTGCCAACATCACTCAAGCAGCCTCTGTGCATTAAGGAGCCCTCTTGGAGTCAGGAAAACTGGATCCCTGATGGTCCAGGGACGCAGGATAATTAGGATCAGGAATGTGTGGCTCTGAAAATTGCTACCTCCTTGTACTGGAGTTGTATTTTTAACTCCACACGTTGAGGGGACCTGTTTACTTCGTTAGGTTCATTAGGAACCTCTAATTAGGAGGCTGAGGGTTGTCTTTGCTCTTCCAGGTTCCCTTGCTCCTGATTACTGCTTCTATTTTGGGCACAGCTTGTGTGGAAAGCTTGGATATCTGTGGAGTGTGGAATATATATTTCATCTGGAGTGGTTTGGTCCTGCCCATTATTCACTGGATAATGATTTTCCCTTGGAAGAGAAGTAAACTCATTCTCATGGAAGGACTGAGCAGCCTCATTCCTTCACTTTTTGCCTTTTTTTTTGTCTTTTGTGGCACTGGGATGAGCCAAACCGTGTAGTTCAGGTGCTTCTCTGGATATTTTGTTATAAACCCCAAATTTTTATCTTAGTTTTCAATATGAATAAGGACATAGAGTGTTTCAGCTAATTAGTTTCTTCCAAACAGAATTATAATGATTGGTTTCTGGTTTGTTTTCTACAGGTTCTTCTACTTAATGCTTTAGATTCTGGGCTGTAATCAGAAGAAATCTGGACCATCCTACAGAAAATCGTGTTGGAGGTGCACTGGGAGCAGAGGTGAGCTGAGGCTTCCTCAGGATCTACTGAAGTATAGTCATAAAGCCAGGATTTAATAAGCAGATCTTCAGTAGGATAGCAAAATTCACGATTAAAATCACAATTAAATACTCAGTTCATAAAATTGAACTTTCTGGTGTTCGATTTGTTGGTGAAACCATCTCAGTTGGAAAAAGAAACAACAAACCAAACCAAAAAATATAGGAAAAAGTGGGAAATTCTGTGCCTCCTCTGCTGTGGTGACTTTTTCAGTTCGGTGCCTGGGCCTGGGCAGGGTGTGTTGGGAGGGTTTGGAGGGAATGCCCTTGGCACCCCAATGCCCTTGGCATCCCAAAGCAACACCTCTGGTTTGGCTGGAGCCTCCACTCCAGCTTGTTTGTCCTGCTGGGAATTTGCATGGGTGGAGCAAGGCTGATCCTGCTTTTTTTAATCTCCCAACCAGCCTTTGGTGTCACTGCAGTTTGCCACAAATCCCTGTGTGTGTGTGCACATCCAAACTGACCAAAATGTTCAGTGCTTAATCCTCCTCCTCTATAAAGCCTTAGCAGAGGACCCAGGGGGGAACCAAATAAATGTATTTTTGTGTCATTTTATCTCCTCCCTCTGAACTTTCCGCCCTGTGCTTCTCCCACCCTTGCCTGCCATTCCCAGGTTTTTCCTCAGCATTTCCTCGGGATGCACTTCAAATAAATCTGATTTACCCTCAGAATTAGATTGTGGAGCTTATCTGAAGTCAACAGCCTTACATTGATCTGTCTCAGATAAGGAATCAGTTTGGGCTCGAGGCTGGTGGTGTTAAAAACGACATTTCCCCGCTTTTTTGCTCTCTTTAATAACATTATATTCCAGTTTCAAGCAGGATATAAAGGAGTTTAATTTTCATGTCGATTTTTAGGAGACCTTTCAAGGAATCTTTGAGGTTGCCATCGGTTGGAAGGGCAAACAGATGAGAGGAATAACGTGAACTTGAATTTTGTGGAAGTTTCAGGATTCTGGCCAGCAGAAGGCACTCCCAGCTCAGCTTTGTGTCGTTCAGCAGCTCAGACTCGCTGCCTTTAGACCTCCCCACGGAATTCCCAAGGCTCCAGCCGTATTTCATAGGAAATTTGTTGTTCTCCACCCTCGGTTCCTCAGATTTCCCCAAAATAATGTGTTTTCTTCCTTTGCCAGGGCTGACTTTGGCTTTCCATGTGCAATAATCCTCAGCATGTCCTTGTTCCATCCCACTCTGGCCGGGGCCTTTCTGCTACTCTTCCTCCTTCCAGGAATTTGGGTTTCAGCTGAGAACATCAACTTTTACGACGTGAGGCCTCCCCTGGACCGTAAGTAGGGACTTCTTTTTTTTTAATTTTACATATATCTGCAATTTTCCCTTCATATTTAACTTAATATAATATAATATTTAGCTTAATATTATAGTTACTCCCCATATTCTTCCAATCTTTTAGGTTTTTAGGTGTTTTTCCCCTTCAAACACGAGAAAAAGTTTAAAATAACCATTTTGCTTTCCCACCCACAGCGCTTTATTTCGAATATTTTACAAGTTGACTGTTTGAAAACAAACAATTGCAGGCACTGCTAAATAAGGAGTTCACATTTTAAGGTCTTTCCCGTTTTATTCTGTTTTTCTGGCTCTGAAATGTCTCCCCACAGAGCAGATTATGCAGTGGGTTTCTCATAAATAATACAGGACAGGTGGTTTTTGTCTTTTATCTTGTTGGGGGTTTTGTGAAGGGAAAGAATAGGTGTTCTGTGTGCAATTAATTCAGTCTGAAGGTAATTAAAAACCTTGTGGGACCTGTGAAGCCAGTTGTCACTAATAGCATCATTTTTTTTTGGCCTCTTATCTGGCATCAGAAGGGTTCTATCCCTTCATTTTCATTATCTGCATCATTAAAACAGTCAGGACAGGCAGATAAATTAGATATCTGTGTGCATCTAGGGAGCCGTGCACCTTAAAATAATTGATTTAAATAATGTAAATAAGATTTTAAGCCAGTCCTCCCGATCCCTTTGTTAAAAGGATCCAACTTCTCCTTCAGAGTTGAAAATCAAGCTCTGAAGCTGCTTTTTAAGGTGCCTTTTTTTCCTCATCAAAGGAATCCAGAGCCATTTGAATGTAGATTGAGTTTGTGTGTCTGTGCAAACCTCCACGAGGATGTAAATAAACTGTTCCCTCTCTCCTGCTTTTCCCACTTAAGTGATTTATTTTGGTTTGGGAGAGAATGAAAACACGAGGATATATTTTAAACTTCAGGCCTTGCAAAACCAGTTGAAAACGTAAAACTTCTTTTATTCATCTAACAGTAGAAATATCCTGGAAAATATGCAAATGTGTGAGTTTTTTATATGTGTGTACAGGAAATATTTCGAACGTTCTATTTTTTTTTTCCTCAATGCTTTGCAAACTTACTGTGTCTTAATGCTTTTAAAGCCACCCCGTTTCCAGAGAGTTTTAAGTGCTTTACCTGTGAGAATGCAGAGGACAATTACAGCTGTAACAGATGGGCTGAAGATCGATGGTGCCCTGAAAGTAAGTGTGAGTAAGTCTGGACTAATGTGAGACTTAAATGTGACTCACCACCTTGTAGAAGTGTGATTAATGAGATTAATGTGCCAACTGTGGGGCCCTCAATCTTGTTATTGATGAGATGAATCATATAATTTCTGCTGAGGTGAATATTTTGAGCGTTTCAGAGCTCAAAGCAGCAGTGTAAAAATTATTTATATCTATCTCTGCATCTACAAAACATTTTGTATAACACATAATATGTAACAATACATTATACTAATTGAAGTCTTAATAATATATCCATATATATAATATCAATAATATTAATTATATATGTCTTTCTATGTGTGTATATATATATATGGGCTTCCTAGGAGTTAATTTTAAAGATTATTTTTTATTTTAAATCTTAAAAATTGTCTTTGTAGCCTCATCCCGCTCCCTTTGGATGCCATCCCAAGATTTAATGGCTTCCTTGTGAGCAACAGGACCTGAATAACCAATATCATACCTGTATGAGGGGATGATGGATCCATAGAAAATAATGGAAATGTGTTTCCTCATTTTTCTTTGCACTGATATTCCCAGTAATGGTGGGAAAGGGGAAGAAGTAAATTAGAGGGAACGTGTCTGAAACAAAGCGAGAATGTGCTGCCAGAAAGAGCAGAGAATGGAAGATAAATGTATAAATTATAGTGCTAATAAGGAATTGAAATGGTAGCAGCCTCCCTGGAGGTTTGAAGGGTCAGTTAAGCTTCAGATTTCCTCACTAATTAATCGCTAAATGCTATTTTAATCAAGCTGAAAATAGCTTTGTGCCGCCAAAATAATGAATTTCCTAGGAATATTCTTCCGAATCACATGAAGTTTTTAAACACGTGCTTAATGCAAATAAACCTCTCAAAATCTTCTTTTCCAGGCACTCAGTACTGCTTGACAGTTCATCTCTTCACGGACCACGGGAAGAGCATGTCAGTCACCAAAAAATGTGCCACGGGGGAGGAATGTCACCTCGTCGGCTGCCACCGGCACGGAAAGAGTGGCCACACAGTAAGAGCTCCTCTTGCCCTACTCCTTGAGGAAGAGCAGCACAAGTTGGGCTGGAGTTTTGCATTCCAGGACTCGTTTTTCTTGCTGGGCCGAGCGGGATGTGCCAAGATCCGCTCCGTGGTGTTTAACAATAGAAGTGGGGTTTCTGCAGCCCTTCCTTCCTCCTTCCCCGTTCGTGTGGGACAGGGTGGGACAATAAGTCTTGAAGGAACACCTGAGCTTTCTAGGGCATGGCTGGGGTGTACCCAAGGAGGTTTGGGAGTTCTCAGCGAGGTTGTGCAACACTCTGTTTGTCTTGAGTTTTTGTTCCATGAGAAAGAGCTAAAACTGCTGCCTTCTCTCGTCCTTGGGTGATGGGTGGGAGTTTATTCTTAATAATCAAACA